CACAGAAGACCACAGACAGAGTATAGGCTAGGTGGTCAAAGACTGCAAACCTCACTCAAGGAGAAAGATCTTGGGGTGAGTATAACACCGAGCATGTCTCTGGAAGCACACATCAATTAGATAACTGCTGCAGCATATGGGCGCCTGGCAAACCTGAGAACAGCATTCCGATACCTTAGTAAGGAATCGTTCAAGACACTGTACACCGTGTATGTCAGGCCCATACTGGAGTATGCAGCACCTGTTTGGAACCCGTACTTGATAAAGCACGTCAAGAAACTAGAGAAAGTACAAAGGTTTGCCACAAGGTTAGTTCCAGAGCTAAGGGGAATGTCCTATGAAGAAAGATTAAGGTAAATCGGCCTGACGACACTGGAGGACAGGAGGGTCAGGGGAGACATGATAACGACATATAAAATACTGCGTGGAATAGACAAGGTGGACAAAGACAGGATGTTCCAGGGAGGGGACAGGGAAACAAGAGGCCACAATTGGAAGTTGAAGACACAAATGAGTCAGGAAGTATTTCTTCAGTCATAGAGTTGTAAGGCAGTGGAATAGCCTAGAAAATGACGTAGTGGAGGCAGGAACCATATAGTTTTAAGACGAGGTTTGATAAAGCTCATGGAGCGGGGAGAGAGAGGGCCCAGTAGCAACCGGTGAAGAGGCGGGGCCAGGAGCTAAGACTCGACCCCTGCAACCACAAATAGGTGAGTACAAATAGGTGAGTACACACACACACACACACACACACACACACACACACACACACACACACATGCACATACACAGACACACACACACACACACACACACACACACACACACACACACACACACACACACACACACACACACACACACACACACACACACACACATCAACCTAATACTCAGTTCTCTACCTAACTGACCTATAATTATATCTTACATACTGTCTATTATTTTTTATTTTATATCGTCATTAATAGGTTTATTAATCATTTTATTTGTATAATTAAATGAGATAAAGTGTTGTGATAAAAAAATGTTTAATGTGGGAATTAACTTCCTCGTTTGTGTTATGGAGGCTCGACCCTCCGTCCGGTAATAGTGGCCCAGTCTTTAACCTGTCAGGCTATTTATTTTTGTGAATTTCCTTCTATATGTTAAAACATTAAAAGTTAATGAATTGTTACTTGTATATTTCTACCTTTAAGTGCTCGAAATATAAAAACAACTTATTAAAATATATGGTACCTGCTGAAGAGGACCTAAATACTTTACATATTACTGATGTTTCTGTCTCTATGTGGATCTGAACTTTGTAGCACATCTATAGAGGTTCCAACGCTAGAGAAGTTTAATATTGTTAGTATATTCGCTAGAGAAGCCTAATATTGTTAGTATATTCGCTAGAGAAGCTTAATATTGTTAGTATATTCGCTAGAGAAGCTTAATATTGTTAGTATATTCGCTAGAGAAGCTTAATATTGTTAGTATATTCGCTAGAGAAGCTTAATATTGTTAGTATATTCGCTAGAGAAGCTTAATATTGTTGGTAGATTCGCTAGAGAAGCTTAATATTGTTAGTATATTCGCTAGAGAAGCTTAATATTGTTAGTATATTCGCTAGAGAAGCTTAATATTGTTAGTATATTCGCTAGAGAAGCTTAATATTGTTAGTATATTCGCTAGAGAAGCTTAATATTGTTGGTAGTAATTCGCTAGAGAAGCTTAATGTTGTTAGTATATTCGCTAGAGAAGCTTAATATTGTTAGTATATTCGCTAGAGAAGCTTAATATTGTTGGTAGATTCGCTAGAGAAGCTTGCTATTGTTTGTATATTCGTCTGGAGTGTAACCTTGATATGGATCTTTGTCATAAGATAAGCCACTCACTGGTGCAGGTAGTAAGGAGGGGACTGTGGCAAGACGGTGCGTCAATGGACACTTAGAAGTGGGATAAGGATGACCTCATGATGGACATTGACAACAGAGACCAGTAGGACAGCATGCCCTTACTGCATAGATGTACCACCCTTGGTGATGCTGGGCACTTGTAACCTTTGAGAAGAAAATAAATGTTTTTTCATGGCACTTTGAGTGATTTCTTCAAACATATTTTATAATGATAGTTATTTTTTGTACACTTAGAGTGAGGATTAAATCACATATAAATTAAAATACGGTTGTCAGCATTTACATTTTCGACAACGTAGGGACGTTGTCGAACTGGGATGCGCAAGGCGTGACCTCCCTGGACTGCAATACTGAGGTAATGAGACAAGCAACTGACTGTTCTGAGATCCTTAGTTTCTCTGATGACCGTATAGTCACCTGTAACTTGAACGCTCATTTTTTTTTTCTACGAGCCAGCGGGTCTCAGAAATTATTGAGACAATGATATCGCAAAGAGCGAGAGCCCTTTATCTTCTAGCTTTTTTTTTTCGGTCTTCCTAGCAACACTAGGTAATCCATTGTGATTGAGAGTGATGTCAATTGTCGTAGGTGAACATGTGTAATCCCACATTATCTGTTCGCTATCTGCCCAGAGCAGACAGCAAGCAGACTATTTATGCTGCCATCGAAGTTGCAGAGCTAGGGGTTCCTTGGGGCTGAACGGTGGACAATAGCCAGGCTTTTCTTGATATCGTTAGGCTCATCATGTCTTCCATTCTTTCTTATCTACGACAGATGAAACCATGCGGACAAATTGATTTGTCAATGCACTGCTTTACATAAGAATAGAGTAAGAATAGGGACGGTAAAGGAAAGTACTACATCAGTATGATAGACAGCACTAAAAGAGAAATTAGGACAACTTATTGGAAATATCAAGCAAAAAATGTTCTTATCTGGAAGGCGATTATGTCTTTATGCTGGCACATCTTCAAGAGTTTTTAAGGTGACACAGTCCATTATGGTGGAATTGTTCGTGGTAATTAAAACTCTTAGCCTGGATGAAGAATATGTATATGTATATGAATCTCACTGTCTGGCTCTTTCTCATGAGAGACTCCCGGTGCCTTTATCTCCAAGCTACTTCAGCAGTTGTAGTTGTGCTGATATAGAGTAG